CTTCTTGGCGCTGGCGGGAGCCCCGGGCTTCCGTGCGGAGCCGTACCACTGGCCACTGCTCGTCTTCCTGCTGCCCACCTGCCTCTACCCCTTCGCGTCGTGCTGCGCGCACACCTTCAGCGCCATGTCGCCCCGCGCCCGGCACATCTGCTACTTCCTGGACTACGGGGCGCTCAGCCTCTACAGCCTGGGTGAGCAGGCGGGCATTGGGGTGGGGCGTCCCAGAGGGGTGGGCAGGGGCGGGAGAGGAGCTCTGCCTGGCCCCCAGGCCTCAGATCCAGAGCCCTCACCTGCCCTCAGGCTGTGCCTTCCCCTATGCCGCCTACTCCATGCCGGCCTCCTGGCTGCACAGTCGCCTGCGCCAGCTCTTTGTGCCCACCGCCGCACTCAATTCCTTCCTGTGCACCGGTCTCTCCTGTTACTCCCGGTGGGTTCTCAGGTCCCGCTGGAGGGGGAGGGGCAGGGAGAGGCTGAGGGACAGAAGGCAGGCCAGGGCTTTCTCCTTCAGTTCTCATAGCCACCTAAGATGCGTGTCTTTGTACCCATTTCAGACGGGCAGCATCAGAGGGTCGTGGGCCCTGCGGTCTCTCTTAGCCTCTAAGCTGCCCAGGGCCCCCTTGCCCCTTTCTGACCCTGGCCCGAGCACTGGGATGGTGACCAGCCTTTGCTTCCCTGCTCCAGCTTCCCGGAGCTGGAAAGCCCTGGGCTCAGTAAGGCCCTCCGCACGGCCGCCTTCGCCTACCCTTTCCTGTTCGACAACCTCCCGCTCTTCTACAGGGTAAGGTGCCAGGGTCGCCCTGAGCCTCACTGGCCCACTGCCAGCCCTGCGTCCTCAGCGCCCGGGCCCACTGGCAAAGCCCCTCCCCACTAGCCTGCTTTCCTTTCCCAGCTGGGGCTGTGCTGGGGCGGGGGCCACAGCTGTGGGCAGGAGGCGCTGAGCCCCAGCCATGGCTACCACCTCCTCTGCGCGCTGCTCACCGGCTTCCTCTTCGCCTCCCACCTGCCCGAGCGCCTGGCACCGGGACGCTTTGACTACATTGGTGAGAGCACCACCTGGGAGCACGGGACGGGCAGGAGAACCCAGGGTGAACTGGCCGAGGGTCTGCCAGCGCGGGCGGGAGCGCGTCACCGGGAGGACCTCGTCAGCTTCTCTAGCTAGAAGCTGCTGGAAGGTCCTTGGGTCCAGGCTCCCCCCACTCCCACTTCTCCTGTGAACCTGATGTCCCCACGGTCACTCCTGCTGTAACTGGGAGCCGTGGTTTCTTATACCCCATGTACGGGGACAGGTGGCTTGCCTGGTCACAGGGTGTCAGGGTAGCCCTGGTAAAGAGTCCGTGACCTAACCTGCCCCCCTCCCCACAGGCCACAGCCACCAGCTGTTCCACATCTGTGCAGTGCTGGGCACCCACTTCCAGCTGGAGGCCGTGCTAGCCGACATGGGAGCGCGCCGGGCCTGGCTGGCTGCCCAGGAGCCCCCAGGAGGCCTGGTGGGCACTGTGGCCACTCTGGGCTTGGCAGTGGCCGGGAACCTGCTCATCATTGCCGCCTTCACAGCCTCTTTGTTTCGGGTCCCCGGCACATGCCCCCTGCTGCAGGGTGGCCCACCAGAGGGGGGTGTCCTGGCCAAACAGCAGTGAGCTCCATCCTGAGCCTGCCCTGGAGGGAGGCAGAGGCCGGGCCACAGCAGTGGAGGAGCCCAGACCCCAACCTGAGGAGGTGGGGGCACCTCTGAGCCTGGAACCATGCAGGAGTGGCTGAGGAGGGCAGAGGGCAAAGGGCAGAGGGCGATCTGAGGACTGGCAGAGTGTGAGCAGGACAGTGGAGGGCGAGGGCGAGGGCGAGGGCCAGGTGGGAGCGGGGAAGTGCTGAGGGTCTGAGAGGGGAGATCTGTGCGTGTCAGGCTGGAGCTGCCAGGCCACGGACGGTCGGGTTGGGAGTGGGGCCCTTTCATCTGGCCCCATCCTGGTGCTCCTGGAAGTCTCTCAGCCGAGGGAAGAACTAACACGACTAACTCAGGCCGACCCCAGTGCTTGGCTGGAGCTAACAGGCCACGGATGGAGGTCGGGTTGGGAGTGGGGCCCTTTCATCTGGCCCCATCCTGGTGCTCCTGGAAGTCTCTCAGCCGAGGGAAGAACTAACACGACTAACTGAGGCCGACCCCAGTGCTTGTTAACCAGGCTAAGGCCACACACTGTCCCCAGCCTCTAACCAGCAGCTCCTCACCTGTCCTGGAACAGCCAGGTCCCTGCGGTGCTCAGCCTCGGGGGCTGGCTCTGTCTGGGTGTGTCCTGGGCAGCACGGTGGGCTGAGGGGCTGAGGGGCCGTGGGGCTGGAGGGGAGCCCTGGCTAGAACTTAGGAAGCCGCCTTCCCCGCTTTCTGGAACGAGGCAGGTGCAGATAAATAAACAACTTTGGGAAGCACCGTCTGGGACTAAGAGGCCAAACCTTCCCCCAAACCCCACAGACCAGACAGACTCGGGCCCACCAGTTCCTCTTCTGGAGTTTATTTTGGAGCAGCTGGGGTGATGGAGACCCCACACGGGCAGGACAGCAGGGGCAGGGCGAGGGGAGGCCCGGGGTCTTGGAAAGGAGACAGGGCGGGGCTGTGCAGGGCCCGCGGGGACGCCTAGGCCGTGCCGTAGAAGCGCCTGTAGGCCTCCGCGAAGCCGATGTGGTCAGCCAGCTCGTCACAGTCCGCGCTGAGCTCACACATCTCTCTCTTGGGCTCCAGGGGATCTGGGTAGGGGGCTGGGGCCGGGCCTCTGAGAAGCCCAGCACAGCGGCATCAGCCTCTGCGAAGTGTCCACTGCCGCCTCCCACTGCCCGTGGGCTCGAGTCCCGCAGAGGGCGCTCTGCCCCGTGCCCGTAGTGGCCCATGAAGGCCACCCCTGCAGCCCCTCAGCTTCTCTTACCCCATCCCATAATCCAGGTAGCGCCTGGGTCTCTTCACCACCTCGGTGCCCTCCTGCTTGGACACAAAGGCTGTGGGGCAGAGGGGAGGCGGTCAGGGGGCTCCGAGGTTGGGAGACGGCGTGGGGAGCAGGCTACTTTCTGACACCCGAACAGGAGGTGGAGGCAGTGGGGGACTGGGACGGGGGGGTGGGAGACGGGTGGGGCTGCACCCCATCTCATACCTGCATCTTTGCCGGACTCTGCGCTGGGCTTTGCATCTGCAAGGGAAGGGAGCACGGTCACCCCACTACCCTCGTTGGCCTCCCACTGCCCCGACAGCCTGCTTCTCTCCCCCACTCCTTAGGCTGGCAGGGGCAGGGGCAAGGAGAGGAGGGCGAGCCCGTCCCCTCAGCCCCACTGGGGTGTGGTCCGACGGGTGCTCACCTGTCTGGCCAGCGAGGAGGAGGGCAAGCAGGGCCGGCAGAGCGAGGAGTACGAGGGCCCTCATGGTGTGTGGTGCTGCTCTGCCCCGTGTAGCCGCCAGCGCCGTTTATACCCTCCAGCTGTGCCCCAGTGAGGGGGCACTGAGTGGTGCAGGCGGGTCACAGGGGACACTGCCAGGGCTATTTGGGGGCCATCCGCCCCAGCTCTGGAGGCCAAACCCCAAAGGATGTGGTTGGGAGTTGTGGCTGCCTGGGCGGGGCCGGAGGGGGGGCAGTCTGCCTGCCAGGCACTCCACACTGCCCGGCCCTACCCGGCCCTGCTCTAGGAGCAGCCTGGGAGGAGGGGGCCCTGAGGGCAGAGAGAGGTTGAGCAGAGTTGGGCTCCAGCTAGGCGGCCTGTGGGCAGGAGCCAACCCAGGGACGGAGCGCCCAGCAGTGCCTCGCTCACCCTGCAACCCTACAGGCTGGCCTGGCGAGGGTGGCCCCAGTCCATTTAGCCCTGTGCACTGGGCCTACGGCCAGCTCTCCATGGTGCAGGTGGGTCATAGGGGCCCAGGGCTACAAGGGCAGGGACACAGGGCAGGGAGGTGGGGTGCTATGGTGGAGACCCCTTGCCTAATTGACAGGAAGGCCTGTCCCCTTCAGGGGCACCATCCCAGTCTGGAGGCCCCATCTCACACCTGCAAGCCACCGCTGCTGCAGATCACCTGGGGGAGGGGCAGCACCTTGGCACCTCCGTCTCTCTGACCTTTGTCCTCACTCACCGCCAGGGGTCCAGACTTGCTGCTCTGACAGCTCTGGTGGGGATGGGAGGGCTGTCTGGGTACTTGGTGGCGCAAGTCCACATGAAGAGGGGGCAGAGCAATGGGGATGGGCTGGCAAGTAGGGCCACCCTGTCTCCCCTCAGTCCCGTGCTCCTCGGACCCAACTAAGCCTCACTCCAGGGGTTAGGGTGAAGCCGCTGGCAGGAAGTCTTGCGCCCACTTGGGAAGCAGCCATGCTGCCTGTGGCTGGCACTGACAGACGCAGAGGACAGCGTCTCACTGCCCTGGAGGGTTGCCTAGCGCAGCGCACCCCACCACACACGGGCATGCTCATATTTAACCTGATGCCAGAGAAGGGCAGGTGGGCTGGACAGAGCGAAACCTGCTGGCAGCCGGTCCTGCCTCAGGGACCCCAGGCTTGCCCTCTGCATGCATATGGCACACCCTTGCCAGCCCAGCCCCCACCCACCCTGGGCTCCCAGAGGGCCGTGGCCAAGGGGGTGACTGCAGCCAGAACTGGGAGCCCGGTACGCGTCTTGGCCCCAGAGAGGCCGGGCAGAGGAAGCACCCTCACAGATTACAGGGTGGGAGGAAGTTTATTTACAGGATGTGGGAGAACATGGCACGGGCCTTGGGCTGGCGGGCAAAGGGGCAATCAGCGGAGATTGAAAACAGATTCCCCAGCCAGGTCCCAGGGCGGCCGGGGAACCAGCAGGAGCCAGTGGGGGTGGCGCCAGCCCGATCCTGAGGAGGGAAGCGTGGTGCCTGATTCCCAGGAGGGCTGGCCGAGAGCCCTCAGCTACAGAAAACGGAGAAGGCCGGGGTGTGCGTGTGCATGTGCGTGTGCGTGTGCGCTGAGCCCCCGCCGCACAGTGGCAGTGGGTGTGCCCCAGTCGCGTGCTCCAGCAAACCCTGTGGGTGCTCAGGGACCGGGTACCGTGTCGGCTGTTGGCACAGCAGCTCGCCCAGGCCCAGCAGCAGCCCACCCTTGACCGCCCCGGCTCGACCTCCGGGCCCGGCGTCTCACTCAGGCTCCCGCAGCACGGCCAGCAGCTCCCTCTGCTCTCTGTGCAGGCCCTGGATGCCACGGGAGAGAAGACAGGCTGTGAGAAAACCCAGCCCTTCGCCTACTACCCCGACGCCAGGCCTGGACCCCCAGGGGGACGCGGACAGGGTCTGTGGTGCATGTCACTGGCCTAGCCGGGTATGTTGGGATGAAGGCACATTAGGAAGTCCCCCCACCGGCAGAACAGGGCCCATCCTGTTCAAGGACCCCCAAAGGGAGCCCCTGTCCTCTGAACGTTTCTAGCAGAGAGAACTCCTGAGTTAAGGGAAGCCGTAGTCGGGCAGCAGATGTGGACACTGGGAAGAACGGCTCTTGGCAGCTGCACAAGGGGCTCAGCCTCAGCACCAGGCCCAGCTGACCCACTGCAGGTCAGGGGCTGAGGCTGGGATGGGTGACTGTGGGGAGGGGCAGGAGCCTGTACCCTCCGAAGTAGAATCACTGACTCGGAACAGGCAGGCCCTGACAGATCCCAGGACCTAAGAGGGAGTGGCGGGCCTCATGGTGACGAACCGGCAACGGCAGGACAGTCACCTGAGGACTCGGCAGGTGGCCTCAAGTGCCTGAGACACAACTGGGAGCTATGGAACCTGCCCCACAAGACAGCGCCAGGCTGAGGGCTTCAGCCACGCCACCCTTGGTGACAGCGCAGGGCTGAGGGCCTCAGCCACTCCATTCTTGGTGACAGCGCCGGGCTGAGGGCCTCAGCCACTCCACCCTTGGTGACTGTCAGTCCCTAGGACCGGTCTATAACTGGCAAGTGTAGGGACAAGCGGGAGCAGAGCAGGCCGCTAGCCCTTCACCTGCTACAGGGGCCCTTGCCTGGGCTGGGGCAGGGTCTCCAGACCAGCTACCCGGCTTGGGAAGAGAAGACCAGGGGGATTGGGAAGGCATGGATTGGAAGGCCTGTTCTCGGGAGTGGGAGAGTCTGCCCCAGGAAGGGACTGTCAGGTGGCTGTCAGTCGATATAAGCTGGAGGTCTACATGTTGGGTGGGCACAGATGTCCCCTGGGTAACGGCCAGAATGACACTGGCACAGAGGGCCCAGGACCGACTGACATCAGCTGACGCGGAGGAGCCGCAGCCCTCTTGAGTTCTGTCTCACTGGCTGCAGCAGGAGATGTGTATTGGGAGGGGATTGAGGGACCACATCTGGCCAAGAGAGGACTGCACACATCCAAGGAAAACCCGAGGGACCTCACGTGTGGGCAGACTGGCTCCCGGCTCCCCAGGGGACCCCTGGTGCTGAAAGGGAGGCAGCCACTGTCAGGGGCCTGTCAGGAAGGAAGGGAAAGCAGAAGGCTGAGCACGTACCTGCCAGGCCTGCTGCCGGGCCTGCACCTGCCGCTGCAGCTCCTCCACCTGCCTGCGGCCGGCCAGGACGGCGTCGGCCAGCTGCTGGTTCTCAGCCTCCTGCTTCTGCACACGGCGCTGCAGCGTGTTCCGTTGCTGCAGGAAGTAGGGTGCCATGACGCTGCACAGGTCTCTCTCTGGGATCCCACTGGGGCGCCTGGAGGGCCCCCCGGGCACAGGGGACAGAGGACAAGTCTGTGGGAGGGTTTTACTTCCAGATGCCATCAGTGACATCCCCACCCACAGTCCCTGGTTGGGCTCTCCTGTGGGCCTCCTCCCCTCCCAAGAGGTCCAGATAGGAACATTCACCCCCAGTGCCTCGGCTTCAGTGCCTGGGGAACTCCTCCTTCCCACTTAGCTCCCCTTAGCCTGCCCAGTCACACCCACATCCCCTCTCTCGCCCATGTACTTCCCATCTTCCATACTCCAGGGCTAGGGGTGACTGTCCAGCCCCTTCCCCGTCCTTATGACCATGTGCCCACCCCATTGGCTGTGGCCTGAGGCGACCTGGGTGGCTCCTGAGAAAGGGGCACAGCCGCTGGATGGCCCCGGTGTGCTGTGGGCTACTGCGGGAGGTAAGGACACAGGTCTGAGGAGGCAAGATTGTGCAGAGAGTGGAAGCTACCTTAGGCTCTTTAAATATTCTTTCCCAGGGGCCGGCAGGTGGTGCAGTGGTTAAGATGCTGGACTCCCACATGGCTGACCATGGTTTGAGTCCCGGATCTGGTGGCTTGCTTTCTCACTTTCCTTTTCTTGCTCTCTCGTCAAATTTAAAAGTAATAAATAACAACAACAAATAAAATAAGTAATTCTTAAAAAAAAAAAAATTCTTTCCCAGTTGAAAACTTAATTCTCTTGGGGCCAGCAGGTGGCGTTGTAGTTGAGGTGCTGGAATTCCCACACGGCCAACTGTGGTTATAGTCCCAGATCTGGCAACTAGTTTTCTCTCTCTCTCTCTCTCTCTGTGTCTCTTTCTCTGGCAAACTTGTGTGAAAAAATAACAACAATGAATAACTAAAATGAATAATTCTTTAAAAAACAATTCTCTTTAAGTACAAAAAGATGATCTCCTCTAGCCTAGGATACTGTTATGGGAGGGGAGAGCTGAAGGAGCAGGGGCGTAGGCCACTATGGGTTCTATGGCCTCTGCTCTCCTCCACCCTGCACTGGACGCAGCTGCTGGCCTGGCTGCTCACGGGATGTCAGCGAAGTCGGGAGAGCAGGACTTTGTCTCGTCCATGGCCAAGCCTCAACAGAAGGTGCTCCTTGGGAACCAGAAGTTAGCGTAATGGCTATGTCGCTGGACTCCCATGTAGTCGACCACGGTTCGCATCCCAGACCCGGTGGCTTAAAACTCACGCCGGGCGCCTGTGCGTGCGTGCCCAAGATCCCGAGAGGAGAATGGAGGAGAGGGATTGCGGCGTGACCATCCCCCCTGGGGGGTGATTTCTCGCTTTCTGTCTCTATGTCTCTCTCTGTCTGTCTGGTGAGCACATGCGCCCTATAGCGAAAATCTCTCCCCCAAAAAAAACAAAAAACAAAAAAACCTAGAAGGCACTCCCTAAACCTGAGGGACCTAATCAAGTTTATGGAAAATGCACATTAAAAAAAACCTGCATGGATTCAAAACATTTTTGTACCAAAATAAACCTGTGCATTTTTTTTAAAAGAGAGCACGTGTGCTCACGAAGAGACAGACAGAAAACAAGAAATCACCACCCCAATTGTGGCATGGCCCAGGAGAATGGCCACACAATTCCTTCTCCTCCATTCTCCTTTCAGGACTCTGGGCACACATGCACATGCGTCTGGTGTAAGGTTCAAGCTCAGACTGGGGCTGGCCATGTGGGAGTCTAGCAACGTAACCTTGACACCATCTGCTGCATCTGCCGGTCTTAACAAACCTGTGCTTTTTTTCTTCTTTTTTTTAGAAGTTTTTGCTACAGGGCGCGTGTGCTCGCCAAAAAGAGAGAGAGACAGAAAGCGAGAAATCACCCCCCAAGGGGGATGGCCACGCCACAATCCCTTCTCCATTCTCCTCTTGGGATCTTGGGCACGCACACGCACACGCCTGGCATGAGTTTAAGCCACCAGGTCCGGGACTCAAAC